CCTAAGATTACAAGGCTAAGACATACTTATTAATTTGTGAAAGTATAATATCTGCTTATAATGTCTACAAGTCATTACAAGTGTTTGAATAGCTTGCTTTTGCTTAGTATACAATTTTGTATCAAATAATTAATCAAATATAATTATATTTAAATTATAGAATACAAAAATAGTAAATAATACACTATTTCTACAGTCCCAACCCCTGCACCACTAGCTGCCTCTGCCTCATTCTTCTGCGAGTGGGATTTGTGTTGGAAAAGGGTGAATGCATTCTCAGGCCGTTCGACGTAGTCTTCGTCACCACGTACTGGTCGTCGCTCGGTCCCTGCAAGTTGAATTGCGAGCGTGTGTGAATTGAGGTCGAGCAGGTTGTGGTGATTGAGGCTGTGCCTGTGAGACGAGTTTAGAGTGATTAGCAAGTGAAAATAAGAGAGAAAAGATGGACGCACTGCGACAGCGTGCAGCGAGTGTGGGTGGGTCACCTGGGTCGGAAATCCGGAGCGTTGAGCGAGCTAATTTGGGCTGCAGGGGAAAGCGTGTCTGTGCAAGCGCGTTGCATGTTCTGGCTACGACGCGACGCGCAATCGGAGATGCAGTGAACTCAGTAATAGTTGTGGATGACTTCAAAGGTGTATCTCTAGGACGTTCTGGCTCGAAGGGAGAGGATGAAGTGGGTGGTGCGGGCAGACTCAGCTCCGGAGAGGTGAGCGGTGGCTACTACTTCCGTTATTCAAAATGGTGTCATGGACGGCACTGGGGAATATAAATGCACACGGCGTGGGCCCATCAAGGGTGATGTCAAGCATAGGATGGTGGGCGGGGAAGGAGAGTGCGCGGGGGGTCAGAGAGAGGATTGCGCCCGAGGAGTGGTCATACATGGACATTGTCGCGAGCGCGTACTCACCGATTGTTGCTTGCGTTGCTGAGCGGGAAGAAGTACGCAAATGCATGGAATTACTGAAGAAGTCGTTCAGTATTGGTCAACAACACGGATGTGCGAATGTGAATGCAAAAAGGAAGGCGAGCGTAAACAGAGGAGGACAACGAAGGAGAGGCAATGCAAGCGGCGGAGCAAGGAGCGAGGAGCGGGAGGGATGGAAGGGAGACAAGAAGTTGGGAGGAGAGGGATGAGCAACTATTGTGCAAGTTATTATGAAGTGGACTGGCTACTTATGCTTTACAATGAAGGACAGTGTAGCCAGCTCGGCCGTGTCGTCACAGGATCTGAGGCTCAGCGCAGGCATCGCAGTGGCAGATTAGAGAGACGAATCCAGTGACGTTTATTGTCTAGGCGGTCACAGGCAGTGTGCCTGCTGTAAAATGCTTGTAGGCAGAGGACTGGGCTGGAGAGAACAAAAGAAACGACATAGTGTTGGGGGAAGAGGGTTGGGGAGATGGTGGAAGTAGGAGGAAAGGAGTGACGAGAGCAAGTGTGTCATTTTATGCTCTCGATCCTCGGTACTCGATTATGTAATCACTTCGATATATTGTAAAAGTAAAACCAAGTTATATTATAAGTTTAACATGGTGATTGTTATCAATATTAACATATATAATTGCATATTATCTTACTAAAAGTATTGTAATTAACTTACAAGTACAATGTATTACTTTTATGACTATTATAATCAATCAACTATTGTTACAAATAACTTATAATATAATTTTAGCATATTATAATAGGAGTTAAGTGCTTGTATCTCACATGTAATGTTGTAATAATACTAGTATTAAGCTTACTTGCTTTAAAAATACTTGTAGTTTAGCAAAAAGCTTGTATATTCCTTATATTTATATACAATCATTAGAATTGTATTATAAGTAAAATACAATTACTATGTTAGATTGTAATGCTTATGAAATTATATTATTAAATTACTTTTGCTATTATTAATTACATTTGTTGCGACTTTTTCGTGATGTCGTTCCGCTACTACTCTCTGGTCTTCACTGTCTGGAACTGCTGAAATGACCTACACTTCCCTTATACGACTGCAGAATTCGGGGGGCGAGAGGTGAACATGGCGGTTTTTATATTGTGTATTGTGCAGTGACCTGACGTCCTTCAAGGGGCAAACCTTCGAGATATACTATATGCATACCACCAACCGTGCAACAGCAATACGGTAGCTCCTAGGGACCCTCATCACGAAAAAGTAGCAACAAATGTATTTAATAATAGCAAAAGTAATCTAATAAAATGATTTCATAAGCATTACATTCTAAAATAATACT